GGCTACTCATCCACACAAAAAGGATACAAATGTTACTCACCCACCTTACGTCACATATTTGTCTCTCGTGATGTCACATTTTTTGAAACCGACCTGTATTTTTCTGCCACTCATCTTCATGGGGAGACTCTTAGTGAAGATGAGACTCTTCATACTCTTCTTATTATACCCCCTGAGCCTATCCTTAACACCACTATCACAAAAAATTCTAAGGGTGACCTTATCCTCATAACACCATATTTGAGTGTTCCACTGGAGAGAAATGAATTTTCCAACGATGAAATCCCCATTGGAAGTAAGCTTCAACAACCTAATCCTTCTGAGAAACCCCAGCTACGGCATCCAAAAATCATTGTTTATTCTCGGAAACATTTTCCTCCTAAAAACGACACAGCATCAGTACCAAATGCATCCAACTCCGAGGACTGTCCTGTTTCAGATCAGTCTCCTGGTTCGTCGGATATGGATCTTCTTATTGCTGTTCGTAAAGGCACAAGAGCTTGTACTCAACATCCAATCTCTCGTTTGTATCCTATGGAAATTTATCTAAAGCTTACAAAACTTTTGTAACTAATATTGACAGTGTAAAGACTCCAAGAAATGTGAAAGAGGCTTTGGAATCAATCGAATGGAGACATGTTATTTTTGAAGAAATGAATGCTCTCAAAAATAATGGGACATGGGAAGTTTCAGATCTGCCAGAAGGGAAGAAAACCATGGGTTGTAAATGGATTTTCACCACAAAAGTCAAGCCTGATGGGAGTATTGATCGGTACAAGGCCCGGCTTGTGGCAAGAGGCTTTACTCAAACCTATGGTCTCGACTATGATGAGACGTTTGCCCCCGTTGCAAAGCTGGATACTGTTCGAGTGCTACTTTCCTTAGTTGTCAACCTTGATTGGCCCTTAACATAACTTGATGCAAAAATGCATTCCTCAATGGAGACTTGAGCGAAGAAGTATACATGGACTTTCCACCAGGCTTTGAAGAAGAAAAAAGGCGTGTATGTAGATTAAAGAAGTCATTATACGGACTAAAACAATCCCCAAGAGCTTGGTTCAGCCAGTTTGCCAAGGCTATGACCAGCAGGAATTACACCCAGGGGCAAGCAGATCATACACTATTTTACAAACACTCGGGAAATGGGAAATACTCTATTCTTATCGTCTATGTTGATGATATTATTCTAACAGGGGATGATTCGAGTGACCTGTTGAAACTAAAAGACTTCCTCAGCACATAATTTGAGCTTAAAGATTTAGGGAATCTCAAATACTTCCTTGGCATGGAAGTCGGACAAGCATTTCTATTTCCCAACCAGAGTATGTTCTTGATTTATTGGCTGAAACTGGCATGCTAGGTTGTAAACATGCCGAGGCCCCAATGGAGTTCAATTCTAAGCTAGGCAATGATGATGATGGGGAAGAAGTAGACAGGGGGAGATACCAGCGACTTGTGGGAAAACTAATTTATCTATCTCACACCTGACCTGATATTGCATTCGGTGTGAGTGTCACCAGTCAGTATATGCATGCTCCAAAGGAAAAACATTTGGAGGCGGTTTACAGGATACTAAGGTATTTGAAAGGAACACCGGGTAAAGGTCTTCATTTCAAGAAAAACACCAGTCGTGAAATAGAACTTTACACTGATGCTGATTGGGCAGGATCAATGAGTGACAGACGATCTACAAATGGTTATTGTAGTTATGTGTGGGGCAATCTTGTGACATGGAGAAGTAAAAAAAATCTGTTGTGGCTCGTAGCAATGCAGAGGCAGAATATCGAGCTTTATCTCATGGTATATGTGAAGGAATTTAGTTACAAAGATTAATGAAGGAACTTAAAGTATCCTATGTTAAACCTATGAAGGTATATTGTGATAATCAAGCTGCTGTCAGTATAGCACATAACCCAGTTCATCACGATCGTACTAAACATGTGGAGATAGATCTTCATTTAATCAGAGAGATGGTAAATTCAGGAGAAGTTTGTATCACCTATCTTCCTACTAAGCAACAAGTTGCAGACTTGCTAACTAAAAGTCTGAGTAAGAATGTGTTTGAAGATTTTATTGGCAAGTTGGGATTGATAAATATCTACACACCAGCTTGAGGGGGAGTGTTGGAAATACTAGAATTAAGGGACTGAATCTTCTTCCTTATTTTTAGGAGTTAACTTAGTGTAAATATGTCTCTAATTGTAGTTCCTAATTTTTAGGGATTCTTTCCTATTTTTTGCACTAATTCTTACTTTAAAAGATGTAATATGTTGTTAGAGAAATATCATAATCATTTTTCTCAAATATGTTCAGGTTTCAATGGTGCGTGTTGGGCTGCTTGGATCCACTGTTGTTGGCAGCTGGGTTTACGTGTATTGGGCCTTATTTTTTAGGCCTGAAATATGTAATAAAACCCAAAATAAGTAATAAAATATATTATATGTATAATATATGTTTAATATACTATATATTATAAAGGGACGAAATTAGGTGTCTACAGTTACCATTTCGCCTGTATCTGATCGATATAGTTGAATCGTCGGTGCTGGAATCGCCGGTATATGGGTTTTTGAAATGAGATGAAAGGGTTTTAGCTTTGAAACAAAATTACTGCTCCCCTATTTGCATTTTAAATTCCTTGCACACCTACAAGTATTTTTTGTGACTAGAATTGTTAGTATATATGCTAAAGAAACAAAAGATGATGGGTGGATGGATTATTCAATATGCATGTTGAATCATAGTGCAAAAAAGAATGGAGGAAAACATATAGTGAACAACATTCCGCATAATCTTAGCTTCTTCTTCTTCTCTTCCTCCTCCTCTTGCATAGTTGTTAAGTATGTTTTGTTGTCATGCTAGTTTTCTTCTTGCAAAGTTGAATCCTTCATCGACATATAACTCAGATGGTCCTCGCCCAGGATGAGACAATCTTTACAGATGATGTAAGCCTTGAGGTTTTCTTGGATCATCTCCAGAGATTAGCAGTTCAATAAAATATGATAGCAGAGCTATAGGAAATTCGCAACCCTGACACTCTAATCACCTGATTTGGATGTCTTCGCGTCTTAATTTCGGCTGCGAATCGTCGATCCACATTGAAAAATAAAGCAAAAAAAAACACCGGAAATCGGATTAAGAAAATGAAATGAAACGATGTGAGTAATGCATAAGATGATTTAACTTTATAAAAGATAAAGAGGAACATTGAAGGTTTTCAAATCAAATAAAGGGGTATAATGCATCTATATTTGCTCCTAGTTCAATAGAAGCAACAATGTCCAATACTCGAACCCCCAAATACATGAAAACCTTTAGAAAACGAAAATCCCCTTCTCGTACACGGATGTGACCAACACTCAGACTTGAGTCCGAGTCTCGTAGAATTTCATACTACATGCTTCTTAATGCTAGACTCCAAACATATGATACAAAGAACCATTTGAAGTAGTAAATAAAAAGACCATTGATGAACCATAAACAATAAGGTTTTATAACATAGTTAAAGACTTGATCATCCATTTGAAACCAAGAGAAGAGAAAAGATAATCCACAAATCAAGACCATTACGAAAAACATCCATATTAAGCAAACAAATTAGTCCTTTCCACACTAAGTTCCTTGGACTCGATTGCGACAGGATATAGGAATGTATCCGAACATGGTCCTTTTAGATTTTTCGGTACACGGAGGTCATGGCCACATGTTCCGATAGCATAACAGTTTTGAACAAAATAAAGCAAAGTTAATTTTCAATTTCCAATGAAATCTTCAAGAAATCCCCTAAGAAAGTTATCAATTAGAACAAAAGCATTTAAAGCAACATAAATTTCAACAAAATGAAGCGAACCAATTCCAAAACTGATAAAATGAAGCGAAACCATTTCAAAAAAGAAAGCTCTCCTTGCGATTAAGACGCGATGATGGCCAAATCAGGCGATTGAAGTTCCAGGGTTGGGTCGCCAGTCGTTGCTGAGGCCATTAGCGGCGTTTGGGGATACACACAGAAAATCGGGGGAGCCTAGGTAATTGGTTTTCCCCATTAAAATGTTTATTTTTTTCATTTTATTTTATATTTTATTTGCAAAATTATTTTTTAATATTGAAAAATATGTCACGAGGCATTTTTAATGGGTTAACGGCTAAAATTAACGGTTTGTCACGGTGTGACTCATTTTGAGTTACGGAATGAAACGTTAGACACCAAACTGAAACCAAAAAAACGTTAGGCACTGAACTGGAACAAAAAAAACATTAGACACTGAACTGGAAAATGAACATACGTTGAACACCTTTTGTATATTTAAGCCTACTTTTAACTATAAATTTATCCTTTTTTAAATTAGTCCTATAATTTTGTATTTTATTCAATTTGATCTTCTGGCTGTATATTTTTATTTTTATAAATTCTTTCTTCTCAACAATTTTTTGAACTCTTTACACTCCTACAAGGACTTACTTTTTCCCTATCTCTCGAAAATACCACTGTTAATTGCAGTTTTTAAACGATGATTCAAATTTCAAAGTGAAGTTTTACTTTTTGACTTGAAGGTAAATAAAGATTTTAACATGTGATGCCGCAGTTTATTGCATGAAATGGGGAACATTTTCATTTTTGCATTGTTTCCTTGGTCTTATCCCAGAAAGTAAGTTCTCCTTTGACTGAAGATACATATATATAATAAATAGCAACCATGTTTGTCCTCTAAAACGACCCAAATTAAAATCAAATTTTACATCTCCCTTTACAGAGACCATGAACGGATAACTACCCAAAAAAAATTCATTTTTTTGAAAGGAGAAGGGTCTCATTAAAAACTCTATTCATATTCGAGTTGAGTAGAAAATCAAACCCGAATAGAGGGGGCTCAATGTTGTAGCATCTAGGAGAAAACGAATGAACCATATGTTCGTTTTAATGACCCGAATTAAGTAGTTGCGTCTGCAAGGTGTGTGTTAGACTAAGAAATTCTAAACATATACTACCTCATAATCACGAGACAAAGAAAAACAGATAACTAGGTTTCATGTCTCCTTTACCAACCATCCTTCATATTTATGTCGTTATATATTCAATAACCGCATCAATCATACATACTTTTTTATCATGCATATTGAGACCGCTAAGAGACCCCGTGAATTGCTGATCTCTCCCAATTTTGTCTGTTTTCTCCCCCTCGTGCGTGTTACAAGCATAAAATTATATTGAATCCCATGAGATAGGTGATTCGAAAAATTATATTTATGAATGCCTATTTTTTTTTATAAAGGTACTTAATAAGGACGTTCACCCTCAACGTTTCCAACAGGATCATAGCTGCAAATAACGAAAATCCATCCGTTGGCACACTCGGATCTCGCGCACCCGAGGTGAACCGACTGGCTCCAAACAACTTGAGTATAGTGCAGGCAGTCGTCGCCGCCACTCTTGCACCGGTTGGAACCGTGGTCGTAATCAGGCTTCTCGCTAGCCCACATTTTCACGGCGTTGACGCCGTCCAGGTTGCCATAGCCTTCAGCAAGGTTTTCACCGTAGGGTCCATAGGAATGCTCCAACTTGCAGTCTCCTATCCTCTCGTCGGCATAATTCTGAGCGTAGGAAGCCAAGGTGTGGTTCCAAACTAGCGGACCGACCCCGACGGTGGCACGGATCGTGTTATGAGCGCTCACAAAGTCTCGAGGGGAATTTTGAGCTAGGCATAGGGTCATGAAGCATGTAGCTAAGAGAAGCTTGATGAACCACATTGTCGCTGGTCTTTCTTTTATGTGTGATGGCTTGTGGTTTAGGGTTTATATAGGCAATAGCTCAAGGAAGAAATGGCTTAAAGGGAAGTTAAGAAATAAAAAATGAATATTTATTTATAAATACTTCCAAGAGTAGAGCAAGATTAATCTATGAAAGAGAGGAAAAAGAAGCAACTGAACATATTTTTTAAAAAAAGAATAAAATATGCATTAGGATTCACATGCATTGTATAATAACAATTAACATTTTGTCGGCTTCAAAATGAGTTGCTTCACTCAAAATTTTGCAATTTAAAAACAAAATGAAGCCATATATATGGTATGCTTTCTTTTCAATCTACTTGCTAATTAGTAATCTAAGAAAATTAAACTCGGTGAAAATTAACATTTTAGTATCCGTTTAAAATTTAACGTTAACTTTCGAGAAAAAAATTAAAAGTTTAAGTACTAAAACATACCAAAATTGATAGTTTAGGTACTAAATGCGTTAAGTTTTTAACGGAGAGGTACTAAAATGAAAAAAAAACTAAACTTTAGATATGATTTTGAAAAACCTAAAAATTTAAGTACTAAAACGGGCCAAAACTTTTAATTCAAGTACTAAATACATAGTTTACCCTTTTATGAAACTCCAACGCCCACGTGTGAAATGACAATGATATGCTTCTGTATGACATGTGTGATACTTGGTCGAAAATCTTAGGCTTCCTTCCTCAACATGATTCTTCAAATCAGGAATTTAAATAATAGTTTATTATCAGAATAATAATTATTATATATACACGATTGCAATACTTGTATTGATCTCAATGATATACGTTATGTCCGTAATTACGATAAACAAAATATAACCAAAAATACGATTATAACAGTAAGTTAACTCTGTGCTTCGAACAGAAATGTAATCACGTGAACACAAATTACATATACATAAAGAAAAAAAGAAAAGCCATAGTGATTAATTCAGACAAACACGACTTGTCACGGGATGAAGATAATGAGATTACGTCGTTCTCCAACACACATAAACAAGTGGTGTTTGGCAATTGCGGTTGCTATATAATACTATATTTTTTAATAACAACATCACTATCGGTGCGTATAATAAAGATGAATATGCAATTAGTAGAGCATGTGATGAGCAGATTATGGAGCATACACAGGCACAGCAGCCGCATTTTGACGTGCTAGCATTGGTTTAGGGAGATACACTGAATTCTGTTTTTGATCTGATGCGACAATTTTCAACTGCTTGATTTTTATACAATACTCGAGATTTATATTAAAAATGTAAATTAAATCAAAGGCTGATAAAGTTACTTTTGACTATATGTAAGTAGAGAATCAATCATGTGATGCCGCAGTTTGATGCATGAAATGAGGATAGGGAAAACTTTTACAGGTTAACGTTTTCGTTTGCCATTTGTTTCACTTCAACGTTTCAAATGCCCCTCAATATTTTTTTGTAACTCGACTAAATTTATAATGGGTAAAGTAAACAAATGATCCCATGACTATAGAGTACTGATTTATTAAGTTTCTCGAATATTAAAACTTACAGAATTATCCTTCGACTATAGAGTGTTGTTTTATTGAATCCTTTGACTATTAAAAGTTAAATTGTATAGAGAGTAAACTTTGAAGTTTAAATTGTGAAGATTAAGAATTAATGGTGTAATTTTATAATTTCTGAGAATATAAATTAACATGTTCGCGAACGTTTAACAAACATATTTGTGAATGCTAAATAATCCAAACATAAATACATTTAAAAGTAAATCAACAAAAAAACGATATTTAAAACTTAAAGAAACGTGAATATAATACAAACACTTTTAAAAATAAATAATCAAACAAGAATATAACAATATGGGAAAACGAGCATTGTAATACCCCGAATTCTGGATCAGTGGTTTGAGTCAACCCGAAACCCACTAGTCGAGCCTATTAGATCTTCTTTGAGAGTATTGGGCTTAGGTTGGCCCAAGAGTTAAAGGTTAATGGTAGTTTTAAGTTGGGTTAAAAGAAGAGGGACCAAATTAACAATTTACCCATAGCCAACTTTAAAGGATGGAAACCCCTTAACCTTAAGTGTTTTTCACATGAAAACCAAAACCCATCAAACTATCTTCATTTTCTCTCTTCCTTTCCTTCCCAAGAAAAAGCTTAAAGGTGGAGGCTTTTCAAATTCCAAGCTTAACTAGAAGTAACCAATGTAAGAATCCAAATCCTCACCCTCCCAGCTTTCATTTAATCCCCTAATATTGAATTTTGAGTGTGGATTTCAAAAATGGGTTTCTAAGAGATAAAAGGAGATTAAGAAATTTAAGTTTGTTCTAGTAAGTTTGAGACCTTATTTTAAGCCTTAGGTAAGTTAGTAATTCCATTACTTATATTTGATTAGCTAAGGAGGTAGAGAAAGTTCAAGGGCTGGAAGTAAAGAGAAAGCGAATCCTAGTTGATTTGAAAGGAGTTTTAGCAGCCCAAAAAGGCAGGTAAGACACTCACAACTTCCTCATACCAGTTGTGGATTATTAGAAATGAGTTTTAGTTAAAAAGTTAAGATTTAAGCATGATGAGCAAATTTCCATGGTAGATTCATATTAAAGTTATTCAAGCATGTTTTAAGTCATATTTATGACCCCTCTAAGATCACATAAGACTTAGTAATCATTGGGAAATCTCAAGGTAAAGAAATTGGGGAGTTTGATTGGTTTTTCTGAGCCCAAAGAGGGCATTCTCGAACAAAAGTATCGATACTATATGAGTCAGTACCGATACTGTTCTTCAGAGGTATGAAATTTTGCTTAGGTTGAAGAGAGTATTGATATCTCAAAAGGAGTATCGATACTACAGGATTTGAATCGGTACTCGTGGGGTGGTATCGATAATGGAAAAATATTTCAGATTCTAGAATGCCATTTTGTTATCGATACACTAATTAGTATCGATATTATGGTATGGAAGTATCGATACTACCTTTCAGTTCTTAGTAAAGTTTTACCTTAAGTATCGATGCCCGATAAGGAGTATCGATACTCTATAGTCAGTATCGATACCAATATGCTTGGTATCGATACCAACAGTCAGGTTTTGAGGGTTTTTATTATAGGGGAGTTAAGATGAGATGAGGTTTTTCTAAAAGCTTTAATTACTCTCAAATAAGACTACAAGTGAGAACAATAATAATGCTTAATTCAAACGTTGAAATGGAATAAAGTAGGGCGAATAAGACTAGCCTTGTTTGAATACTCGGAAAACGATCATGACACCCAAGATCCTTTAGAAAAGCTAGTGGTTTCAAAAGTATAGAATCAGTACGGATATCCTTAGGGAGTGCGCAAGGCATTTTAAGTTGATTAACTAAGGCCAAGGCCTGACACTCACAAGGGGTGGGTTAGTCGAGGGTGTTGACCGATACAGAGATTTCAGAAAATCATCCTCGATAGACTAGAGGGGTGTGAGAGCTCTGAGATGCAGAACCCTCAGCCGCACCATGATGTCTACCATAGAGTAGAGAGTGAGTAGCAAAATAGTAGACTTGATAGCTTGAGCCTTTCAGTGATACACTTTTAGTATGTTCTAATTGTTAGCAAGGCTCTTAACCTTGTGGTCGTGGGATCGAGTCCCACTAAGGGTAATTCATAACGGAGGTCTTCCACGGAAGCTGCTCCCAACCTGGCGTTGGGGGCAACCTACTATCCTACCTCCCCCTTATCCCATTGCATATGGGAATAGGGTCAGCTAATTTTTAATTGTTAGCATGGCACTGAGCTAGTTAGCTCAGCGTTTGAAATTTGTTTCCTTCGCAAATTAGGTGGACCAGTTGAGGAGCTTAGAGCATCCGAGGTCCACAAACCCAGAGTAGATCAGAGTACATCTCAAAGTTTTGAATGGCATGTATATTTATAAACCCTATTGTAAAATTGACAAGTAAATGCATTTTAAAGTCGTTTGTATTATTATTTTGAATGTAAATATTTATTTTGTGAGCTTTTTAGTGTAAAATTTTAATTATATTTTTACAGTTGAAATTATAAAAAAATTAATCGTTTTAAAACAAGAAAAATAAGAAAAAGGTTGGTCAATCATTCCGATGATTCTGTATAGCACCCTAATTGATCTAGTATGTGTTGTACTAATTTAGGGTGTAACAAGGATTGCTTTTAAAAGGTTGAAAGCAAGCCACGGTTTGGACATTGCTTTAAGCGTTCATTGAATATTAGCCCAAAGATGTCTTATAAAACCGCAATCAGATTGCAGTTAAGGACAAGTGGGTTTTTTTTTGTCCATTAAGGCATCTGAGTTTTTTATTTAGCCCATTAGAATATTCAAATTTTTATTTTGAGATTTACAATATTTTCTATAGTATTAATAAAATTTGTTATATCTAGGTGACGAGTTCCGGTAAAATATAATTTTTATAAAAATTTATCACATCTAGCTAAAAAGTTTAAATAACAAATATTTTTTATTAGAACTCATCACGTCGAGATGACAGATTTCATGAACTGTAGAAAAATATCGTAGATCCCAAAATAAAAGTGTATATGCCATATTTTACAATTTTTAGTTGCCCTATTGGGCAAAAAAACCAAGGATGAGTACGAACTGCCGATGCAAACTCGATTTAATGATGATTAATTCTTTAACAAAAAGACACGTAGGCAAGTATTTGACTGAGTGAAATAAAAAACCTTGATTTGAATTCAAAATTTAAATTGTTAACTTGAGTTGACATAAATGATTTTGTAACCCCTCAGATCGATGTGGATAACCCGATCCGATCTGTAGTGTCACATTAGGGCCACCGGAGCGACCTACTGTAAAAATAGCGGAAAATTTAAAACTTTTTATCAAAACATATAAACTCATAAAATTATTAATCGATATGTAAAATTAAAACAAATTTTCAGACTCACATATAAAACAAAATACAATTACATGTCCCCTAATCACATATAACGTACTCTGCAAACAACACCGGAAGAACTCCCTTGCTGAT